TATAATAAATATATTTTTAATAACTAACTTTTGGCCGATTTTCATATATATTTTATATATTTTAAATATATTCAAGATATATTTTAAAATACATAAAAAATACATAGCTAAAGATATAAAAAAAAAAAAAAAAACATATTTTGAATATATATGAAAATTGGCCAAAAATTAGTTATTAAAAATATATTTATTATACATATTTTTTATATATTTCGAAATATATATTTTTTTTTTATTTTTTTTTTCATGGGGGTAGTTGTGAATTATACAATTATTATATATTGCTGACACTGACCTTGTATTGGAGTTTATGACTAAGTAAAGTAATTGTTATTATATAATCATTAGGTGTCAAAATGATGATAATATTTTATAGTTTATTAACGTTTTACTGTCATTAAATAGCCGTTTATTTAAATAATGATTCATCAGATTTGTTAATTATTTATAATTTATGAAATAAAAAAATTTACCTAAATACTTTCTCAACGTAGGCTGAAGAAATCCCGTAGTCATAATCCAATGCATAACTTCTAAGGTAGCTAAACATCCAACATTAATAATTCGTTGAAAAAAATTCATTTCTTGAGTGTATCCTTTACCAAAGTATGATGTTAATGACCAGAGTGTTGGATTTCCTTGCCGAGATATTGATCCACCGTAAAGCGCAACCTTATTAATTAATAATTTATGAATGAACATTAAAAAGTAAAAATATTTAACGGAAGTGAATTTTATAAACGGAAACAAACTGTATTAAGCATAATAGTTGGAATATTTTCTCCATGTAGAATCCCCAAAAGACATTCTGGAAAGGCTCCATCAAGAATAGCAACATCCCAAGTGCTCGACTCATAATTATCGTTACTTTCAGGACGTCTCAGTGCCGCGACAGAACTTTCGTCACGTAGTAAAGCTTCGCATGATTCCCAGCCATATCTCATGGCATCCCATGGCGAAAGTGGTAACTCATTACGAAATCTCGAGCCAACAAGATCCCATTCAGCTGTATAATTACCCACATATGCCTTTAACCGTCAATTTACAATATTTATTGTATAATTTAAAGCAATTATTACGTTATATATTATATATTATGTACATATAGTTTAATTACCTCAAATATCGATGGTATTAATTCACGTAATCCGTTGTTGGCTGCTGGTCCAGGAAATCCACTGACTAATGTTACATTGTGACCTCTAATTCTTAAGGCCGTTCCCAGAGCTACAAAAGGCACTGTGTGGGATTTAGTACCACCCATTGTTGCTAATAACACATTGTAAGCTCTACAATAATTAAAACTAAAATTAATAATCAATATAAATCCCAAAAATTTATTCCCCGTCATTTTTTTAATCAAACTAAATTTCTTCTTTTATCGTTTCTTCTTTTGGCGCTTTCGTTTATCTTGCAGTTCGCCAAGACTTGTCCCAGCAATTGCAATAGCCCGACTAGTTTTAAACTTAAAGGTATTTCCGATTTCAAAATATTTCCTCCTCCTTGTTTGAAAATTTATATCTTCTTTTTCTTCTTCTTCTTCTTCTTCTTCTTCTTCTTTTTTTTTTGTCGGTGTATTCTTATTCAAAACAATCTTCGTTATTATGTTAAATAATAACTGGACATTTTTAATAAACATAAAAGGTATTTTTTATTTGTGATTACTCTTTAACATACCATTATTAAAAATAATTTGTATACATTGTCACAATTATGTTAAACATCATACCATTGTCACTGGATGGCTAACATTGTTTATTAATTATTCACTTTATACAATATCCTCAAGAATGAAGACATTTTTTTATTTTTTACAATAATAATAAATGAAGAAAATTGTGTCATAAGTACATTTTAATTATTAATATAATTTAATAAACAAATTTTTTTTTTTTTAATAAATTATTTACTCTATTTTTAATAATTAAATAACGTTAATATTTTTTTATCATAATACAATGATCACTTTTGTTAATATAAATTTAAACTATTTTAATTATTTAACAATTATTATATATTTAATAACAATTGAAATTCATTTATTCACAAACTATTTACACAATAATTATTTCTATTTATTTATTTTTTTTTTTTTTTTGTTTTTATTATTACTATTGATACATCAGAGTAACGAGAAAACGACAGCGTGAAAACGACTCGGTAATATTCACACTGAGTGTGAAAGTTTGACTGACCAGGTATACCGCCAAGTTAAAATCATTGATGGATACTTTTAAGAGAGTTAGAAAGAGAAAGAACAAGAATTTTAACGTCTCCCACCTACTGACTTGTATTTTTTAAAAAAATTTTTAAGTCACTTTATGCTACCGTTTACTATATTACGCTACGTCAATTAAAGTACTGCATATATGTTTACTGAAGATATTTAGTTTAGTTAAATAAAAACTAATGCGTATTACAAAAAAAAATATCTTAAAAAAAAATATTGATATAAAAATAAAACAAACAGGTGAAAGAGTAAAAGTAAATATAAAATATAAAAAAAGAGAGGTACAGAACATCAAAGTACAGAACAGTAAAATGAGGTGGGGATCAAAGTGAAAGAAGAAATTATGAGAGAAAGGGATATTATTGATACAAAGTATGTATGAGAGAGTTATTATATATTTTGATTGTGATAATGATAATTATCGCATCTATATCACGAAAATTTGTTATTTTATAGAGAACTAAGTTATTATATGCTAATCATGTAAGCTGATCACGAATTGAGTTTACTTAATTACTTAGATTGCGTATAAACAGGTAAGGTGGACCTATTACTTAGCGCACTGTTATGTGTATGCAATAGTTTCTTTTATATATAGATATGTCTACATTAAGATGTTTAAATGTGAGAATTATTTTAAAGCATTGGCGTTTATGTGTTTACACGCAATAAATAATTTATTTGCAGGACCTAACGATAAGATATGTTATGTACACAAATATACAAGTTGTATCAGTAAATTTTATGTATATAGGTATATATATTTATTAAGAATCAAGTCTTGAGTGAAATTGCGGACAAGAGATGGAAACTAGGAATGTCGTGAAATAAAGGTCAACCACCTTTATACTTTGTTCCCATTTTAATTAGAAATTATTGCGCAAAATGAAAACTACCAATGACAATAAAAAATTTTTTAAAAAAGCATTTTAGAAAAAATAAACAATTATAAATAATAAGATAATTATTTAGTGTATAATTATTATTTACTCGTTTTTATTTAACTAATTGACTCACTCGTTTTGATATCACAAGACAATAATGTCAAATTATATTGTCAGTTAATAAGCTTTAGTAGTATGTTAATTTAATTGATGCAATTTTTTTGTACTTTCCCTTTAGACAGGAGTGATGCAAGACACAAGATACTACATGATTTGAATAAAAATATCGTATCAATAATTTTAATCATTATAAATCGATGTATGTGTTAGCTGTTATATGAATAAATGTATGACTTATAATATATGTATTTTTAAATTTTAAAATCACATAGAAAAATATTTTGATTAACTTTTAAATATTAAATAATAACTAGCGAAGATCAACCAGTACATTATTTGTTTTTAAATTTAAACTTTGGTTGTTACATTTATTTGAATAGTACTTGGCTTTGCTCGTCTTCCTGTTTCTTGCTGAGAATCTTTACATCCGAACATTTTTTTCACCGATTTACGGAATTGCGGGTTTAAACCTGCGTATATGATCGGATTATAACAAATTGATGATTTTGCCAGGACACTCGGCACTGCTGCGATTAAGCCCGTTAACTGATACTGGAATTTAGATTATTATTATTATTCATTTACTTTTTTTTCTACCTTTAATTGTCAAGTGAAAAATTTTTTAATAGAAATTTAAAATAAAAATATGATCCGCTCTGTGAAGAAACAAATATATTTAACACAATAGTTGATTCTCAGAAATTATTTCTTCTCAAGTTTAACCTTGCTGATTTTATTTAAGATTTTTTTTATAAAATTTTATTTAATATCTTAAGTTCTTTGCATATTTTTTTTAAACAATTAAATAATTGAAAAATTTTTTTAATTTAGTCCAAGTAGCAAAACTAATTTCTTTAAAATTCAATTTATTGTCAGTATTTTTAAATTTTTTATTTAAATTAAAATTAAGTTTAGTCTCAATAAATGCAAGTGAAATTATTCTTCAAAATTTAATTTATATATTTTTATTTTTGCACTGACATTTAATTATGAAAAAAAAATTTTTTAAATGCACGGAAAAAATTGAACTATAACAAATAATTTTAATAATTAATTTGTGAAATTTATTATTTGAATAAGAATACCATTTAAAACAATAATAACAGCTATGTAATTATCAAAAAAGTTAAAAAGCCACTCCGTAGTTAAAATTACTATTTGAATCAGTATTAACAATTAATAATAAGAACCTGAGCATATTTTATAATTTATTTTTTTCTGTGCATCAAATTACGATATTATTGACAGCCAATGGATTTAAAATAGTTAGTTAGTATAAGTATTAATTAATACTTACAGAAAAATATTGCGAAGCTAATGCAAACGATGCATATGGTGTCCAAGCAAATAAAAAAGCAATAATCATAAGTGCAACCATTAATGTTACTTGTCTTTCCCGCTTTCCTGCTGCTCCAGCTTATTAGTTAATAATAATAAATTCAATATGTATAACATTTAACAACCGATTAAGAAATTTTTTCAAGTAGTTTACTTTCTTGGATAAATATTATTAAGATACTATAAATATTATTTTAAAAAAATAAATATTTATTGAATTGTATTATTTTCTCAAGAATAATATATTTATATTGCTGTAACACTAATTGTAAGTGTTAATTAAATATTTATCCCAATAACTATTATATGACAAGAAAATAAACAGCAGGAACTAATGAGAACTGCTTGTTGTAATTAAATTACATACCAGTACGTTTTTTAACTTTTTTTAATGTTCTGACGATACCAGTATATGAAAAACAGATAAGAGTAACAGGTGCAATAAAACCAAAGAAAAAAAGAAATGCAATATAAGTATCCGTATTCGTTGATGGATCATGAAGTTCCCATGAAACACTGCATGATATATTAGCTGCTTCATAACCAAATTTACCCCACCCCATAAGAGGTGGTAAACTCAAACTTATTCCATAAATCCATACTCCCGCTGCTAGGAATAACGATGATCTAATTGGAGTATCCAAATATAAAAAAAAAAAAAATTCGTATACAATCATATGAACTTATAGTCTTTATATGTTACTTACTTAATACTTAACGTTTGCATCGGCTTAACTATCATGAACCATCTTTCAATTGCCAATACTGTCAAATGCCCAATACTTGATAGACCAAGGCTTGACATAAACCAAGCATACCTTTAGGAGGAAATAATATTCTAAAGTACTAATTATCAATCAATATAAATGAATTTTTAATTGAACAAATTACAATTTTAAGAGACATTGAAAATATTTAAAGTTAATAAAATTTTTTTGATTCACAAAAAATGTATTCAACAGCCAAGATTTTTTTTTTTTAAATGAAAAATAAGGTAAAGACCCAGTAATTGACACTTGCAATTTTATTTTAATTAAAAAAAAAAAATCAACTCTACTTAATTGTGAATATGAATTATGAAATTATGAATATAATTTTTGAATTATAAATTTTAAGATAATTGGTTTTTTGAGAAGATTTTATTTTTTTTAATTAGAATAAAATTGCAAGTGTCAAATAACTAAGCCAGTCTTAATAACTGGGTCCTTTACCTTAATAAAAATTAATTTCAAATAATTTTTTCAATTTTATATTCTAGACCTGCGATACTTAGTTTTAAAATCTGTGGTTATTATATGATAGCACCTTTTTTAGGTAGATTTCATAGAAATCAATCAGTCGAGTAAAGCTCAAAAATAGATGAAACTTGTTACACATATTCTTTGGATAATAATCTTGAATGAGTTCGAAGATGAGCGAAATCCTTTAATAAGTTAAGAAATGGCAGCTCTTTAAAATTATCAAAATAGTGAAAATTACGTTTTCGATGACTTCATTGATGTATAACTTTTGATTGAAAAGAGATGGCTAATTTTTGATAAATTCATTTAAAAGGTCATAAAATTACCTTCAATTTGGCGTATATAACATTGAAATTTTGATCATTTTTAGTTATTTTATCAAAGTTAAGAGTTCTATTGAACCATTTTCAGGCAATGTGTATTATTACAACCTACTTATGTATCTTAAAATAAATTTCATTCCATGTCTAACGAAAGTTATTGAGACAAGATGATAATTCACCATTGATTTTGAATGATAAAGCATAGAGATTAAAAATTTGTAAAAATAAAATTATTTCGCTTGTATTTTTAATTTTTAAATTGTATAAAACTATGAATTAATTTTTTTTCAATTATAAAAAAAAAAATACTACTGTAAAAAATTTCACAAGTAGTTATAAGTATAAAATAATTGAAAAAGCACATGTTGAAAATGAAATTGGATATTTTTTACAAAGCAATACAACAATAAGACCCAGTATTTTTTCAAGTATCGAATGAACATGTTTAAATTCTTGAAATTAACCAAAAGTTAAGCTACAGTTTACGATAAAATTTCTATGATTGTCAAAGTAAGAAATTTTCAGAGCAAAACTAAGCAACCAATAAGTACAAACTGCATCTGATTTATTTTTAATCTAGAAAATAAACTGTCTTATCTCAACTCGTTGCTTCAGTTTCTGACTTAATAAATGTAATCAAAATTTAATTTGTCTATTGTTAAACTCAAAATTACCAACTAATTTGACACTTGAATCAGTATGCGCGTGAATAATTTTAAATTATATCTTCTCGTAAGTAGTTACGATTAATTCGCAGACATTGGAACTCAAACTTTGGATACAAAATACCCCAAATATGAAAAATACATGTAACTTAGGATATACACTATAAAGAAATGTCATTATTATTCAATCCGTCGCGTCGAATAAATTATTTAAAGCGAAAATCAATCTTCTAAAAATGTGCTTTTGTACATTATATTTTCACCAATATTTCAAAGCTGATTGTATCAAATTTGACGGGTATAATTGATGAATGCTTTATTGAGTACTTCAAAATATATAAAGGTTTTTCTTATACTTGTAAAATTATAAGACAGCGTTCGTTTTTTCTTAATCCGAAAAATTTAATAGAGAAAAAAATTAGTTTTATTATAAAAAAAAATTTTTAAGTTACATACTTCAAAAAATTAATTTGAATTTTTATAAAAGCTTGTTAAATAAATAAAACTTTTTCTTATTCAAATAAAAACATAAGAGTTGTTTTTAAATAAAATAAAAAGTACATTATATTTTTCTTCTCATAATAATCCACGCATGGTTGAATTATTGCATGTTAATGTATGCCATCTACTGAGTAGAACAAAATTTCAGTGCAATGCATCATAGTCAAAATTGAAATGGTTAAATTGGTAAGAATGTGCAATAATATTCAATAAAGAGTAAAAATAAATAAATTAAAGTTATGTGATATTTCGTCAATTTAGCGTTAATATTAAAATTTTTTATTTTAAATTAATAGGACTTTTTTATTGTCAAACGATAGTTTGCAATAAAACACCATCACAAGAATAATTATTTACCAAAACTAATATCCTATTGAGTGTAATGTAATATCAGTTATCATATCGAATTTTCATTGTTATTTATAATATTGAGAAAGAATATATAAGTACTTTATGAATATAATAGTAGTTGTAGTGAACTGCAAAAAGTAATGATTTCAGTACACTACGTATGTTATTTTAAGGATATGATAGTCTCATATTTTCTCGAGGGAAATTACATCGTCTGTACGCTTGAATATCATATTTGATATATTTGAGACCACTTTGAATTTAAATCTATCTCTGTTAGTGTACTGTGTATTGTCTTCAATTAAATGAAAATCAAAATGTCAGAGATTTGTATTTTCATGATAAACATCTTCAATTTCAAACTGAAAAATTGTGTAATTTTTCTATCAAGACACTGCTGTATTTTTAATAACTCTTAAAAATAATATTTGCGATTCTAATTAGTTTTTACACTAATTTATTCTGTACGAAAAAACACCACTGAGAGTTGGGAAAGAGAAACGCTTGATTTTAGCAAACATATTAATATTCCACAGAAAGATATTATAATAATGTGTAGAAATTGACAATTATTCATTAGAGATTACAAAATACAGATTAAATTTTTAAATTGAAATTTTAAATCAAGATACTTGTCGAAAGTAATGTTAGCAAGTTTTTATTAAAATCCATGAAGTAATGTAATGAGAAAGATATAAAATGTTTTCTTTCGCAAAGCGCATGAAGGTCAAGAAAAATTGAACGTGGAAATAAAAAATTCATTCATTGCATTTTATATGAATTATATTATTAAAAATCCATAACAAGTTTCATTTTCAGGATTTTGTTTTTATTTTTAATCAAAATTTTATATAAAGACAAGTATATATTATTAAGACTGAATTTTAAATCATTTGTAACTCAAAGATTTTTTTTACCAAAAATTTCACCACCATGGCGGTAAATCAACTAAATAAATTACAGTTGCAAATAATTGTAAAGTAAATTATTTACTATTTTAAGCAAACGAAAATCACCGAAGCTTATCAGATCACTAGCGATTCTTCTCTTCAGACGATTTGACTGATTGACCTCACGATACCGTAAAATTTAAGTCGGTTCGTTTATTCATGAGGAATACATTGTTGAAAATAAAATAAATCTGATCTGTAGTTAGATACTAACTTTTTCGAAGCAATAAATAGTTATCTGTAATAAATATCTAGGTTGTTAAAAATAACACTTGAAATTTCGATCTCTTTGCATGCGGTTATATTATGTGTTTCTGAAATTTTTATATCAATTAACACCTCACATGAGGTACTTCACACAATAAATATTAGGAAGAAAACCATAATAAAACAAATTGGAACTAATTCCAACTAAATACAATCAATTAAGAAATTAACTGTTAGGGGTCTATCGATTTTATACGTATGCTAGTTTCAAAATAAAGTAAGTAGGTATGTGTCAGGGGGTAGAGCGATAAAAAATGTTCGTTTCTCAGCTTGGATGTAAAATTTTCAGCTTATAAGAAAACAAAATTAAAAAAAAAAAAATTTTATCAGACATTTTGAGTCGGCCACTAATTTTTAATTTTTTTTTTCGATTAATTTTTTTAAATATCCAAAAATTGACAAATATAATAGTTTTTTACTTAAGTTTCATTTTGTGACAAAAAAAGCATTTTTTTTAACTTGTTTTAAAATTGCAATAATAGTTAGAAAAATTTTTTTTTCGTTCATAACTTTTAATTGACTCCGAAGGAGACACTTTCAAGTTTCTCGAAAATTAATTAAAAACGAACCTTTTTTCTAGAAATTTTTTAGGATAAAAAAAAAAATTTTGGGATCAAAATGACCCCTAGTGTACTCCGGGGGTTAAAAAAACAATATTCACTGTTGAAATTTAATTTTTATTTTGATTTGTTATTTTTTGGAGCATCCCACAAAAACTTGATTTATTATCCTTGGCAACACATGAAGATTTTATGAAGGATTACTTATGGGTTCAATCCGAGCTACCAAATTTTTCTAAAGAATCAAATACTGGAACAATAATAAAAATCTTGGTTGAAGATTCAAAACTTGTAAGAATAAAATTTCTTTTTTTTATAAGCTACAAATTCTACTCCTAAGCTAAGAAAAAAATATTTTTTCCTCTTTGCTCCTCCGTAATGTGTCAATTTAAATTATGATAGTAAGTGATTTTACGATAATAAAAAGATACAAACTCACGTAAGAAGTAATACTTTAGTTGTTAAAATTAGCCGTCTAAAAATTAAAAATATTTAAAAAATAATGACAGCAAAAATTTATACTGAATGTTATGCTTTAATGTTAAATAAAAAATTAACATTTTTTCGAAGTTTACTTTGAGACACCGGATTAAATTACTTTGTATGAATTTTACTCCTACCGAAGAAATTAATCAGCCTCAGATTTATTTAACACTTTTATACCGATTAAAATTATTATAATACATAGTTTGTAAGTTATTTGAAAAATAAAATTCTCAAAGTATAAAAATACTTAAATATTTTCAACTGAATATTTCAAATGTAATATTTTTAATTACCATATACAAGTTGCATGACTCCAATACCAACCACGGTTATAAGCAGATATAAATGCAAAAGGATCTCCCAAAAGAGCGACTAAAAAGTCTCCACACTTTATAAAATAAATAATAAATAATAAATAATTATTAATTATTAAATATATAAGTGTAAATTTTTTTTTTTTCAATTAAGTTTTAAAACATACTGCGAGATTAACTAGTGTTATGTTTATAGGTGTCCAAATCGCTTTTGATTTTTTGATGATAACAACAATAACAAATAAATTTAATATTACTCCAAAAAACCCAATAAGTCCAAGTACCACTGCTATCATTCCATAAATTAAATTACTATTTCTACTGTCAGAAATATTACTCATTTTTTTTAAATTTATCCTTGCAATACGGTATTTCAAGCGCGTCGTTTGAATAGAAACTGCCACGAACATTTAACATTTATATCTATTATATACATGTGTATAATTATGGAGGGTGAGTATGAAGCTGCGCATTGAACCATCGTGCGACTTTGAAGAAAAACCAAATTTTGGAAAATTATATTTTTTCACATTTTAAGTAAATATCATTAAATTCTATGGTGTGAATGAGTAGCCAATAATTAATCTGTGAAAATTATTGATACTCATCATGTGAAAAATAAATTGAAAAAAAAAAAAAAAAAAAAAAAAATACTGTAATAGCTAATTTTGCTTAATACCACTTGCCTAGTACTTTGAACTGAAGATTATAATAATAATTAAGAATTTAAACATAATTATAAAAAAATGCAAATAACTATAATTTTAATTATTATTAATTTTCAGTGGAAAATTTTACCGCTCAAAGGTATAATATCAACATGTTGTTGATATTAAAAACAGAGGTATTCCAAAAGGATTAAGATAATCTATCAAATATTTATAAGCTTGTTGAAAAATAATAACTATACTATGTCAGAATAATATTTAAAGCCATAATGAAAATTTTTTTCTGCTTAATAAACAATTAATAATTAATTTGGTAAAATTCATATGATAATATGAATATTTACTCGTTAAAAGAAAAAAACTTATTCACAAATTATTTCATGTATATAATTTAAAATGACCTCTTTCGCTAAAAACAGCTGGTGCTACATATCTAGTTTTTTTTTATGGTTGATTGTCACACATCTGAAATAAATAATAACAAAGCAGTTGATACTGTAAAAAAGTAGATTATTGTTAATTAAATATTTTTTAAATAATAAAAAGATTGTTTGTAAGGACAAACAATTTTCTGAAAAGAGATTATGAGAAAAAAAAACTACGGTATTAAATGTGTTAACGATAGTCGTCATACTCGTTATTTGTGGATTATTATAGTCAAAAAGTATAAAGAATCGTTTCAAGCTGAATTTAATTAATAATTTGCTTCAGATTGAAATAACCAATTTTTTACGTACTGTATTACGTCATTGTCAATAGGGATAATAAAAAAAATATTCATGGTCCATTGCTAATGATCGAATTATTGAAGATTAAAAAAAATACTACAGATTTTAACTCTAATACTATGGCGTTATATTTCAATTTTACTAGGATTCTATCGTACTTTACTTTCCTTATTTAGCATTCTGACAAGAAAATCTAAAAGTAAACTGATAGAAGGATTTATTTGTATCAAAAAATATTTGTTAATAGTTAACAAATCATTTATTAGAGATCATTTTTTAACATTAAATAAATATTTCTTAGGATTTAAAATGATTTGTTTGTGTTTAATAAATCTGATATTAATTTTTTAAATATTAATAAATCTTTTTAAATGCTAAGAAATATTTTTTAAGGACTAAAAAGTGGTCTCTAATAAATGATTTGTTAAATATTAGCAAATATTTTTAACTATAAAAAAATCCTTATTTAGAGTTTTATTTAGTTAACCATATCTGACCAGCAACCGAGTTCGTGATGTGCGTTAACCACTTAAATACTGAAACTGGTTAGCAAAAAAAAAAAAAAAAAATTGAACTTAATTTCATGATTCAATTACACATAACAAAAAAATTAGCAGAGTAATCACTTTTATTATTGATTTAAAAATTAAATGAAATATAATAAATGTAGCGTATGTGAAAAACTGTTTTTTTTTTTTACTTAATATTATTACTTTCACATGTCTTCAGTGTCACTATCGGAATCCTCAGCCATAGCTTGACGGGCTTTAGCTTCAGCCTCGGCTTTTATTTCGTGTGGAATACGCTCATGTTTACCTTTCGTATGCGCGCCAACCCAGCTCATCTCCAGCTCGAACTGTTTGTCTTTCAACTCGTCATGAACTAGGTAAATAATTCGTGCAGCTTCTTTTACTAACTCTTTGCAGGACATGTCAGCCAATTTCAATTTCTCAATTTCTGTCTTGGCTGATTGTTTAGCTTTACCTGTAATTAAATATACCAATCTCAGTTTTAATAATTTAATTAATCTAAAATGTTAATAGTGTCCTTGTAGATTTAAATTAAAGATGAATATCGGGAAATAAGGACCACCATATGTGGAAATTTTTTTTTTTTTATTATTCTTGCCAACGTTTCGTCAAATTTTTTTGACTTCTTCATAATTAAATTGTTTGGTTAATATTTATAATATATTTTACTAAAGATTTTGGGGCTATTGTAATGTATTTATTTTACTGTTTATATTGACATGTGGTGTTTTAATTTGTTTATGTATATATTTTTATTGTAGAGCCCTATACTAAAGAAGTCAAAAAATTTGACGAAACGTTGGCAAGAATAATAAAAAGAATTTTCCACATATCGACGGTCTAATTAGCAATTTGTCTAACTCATTTTTAGAGGGTGAATTTTTTAAGGAGATCCTTTCGCCGCCAATGTAAAATAAAAAATATTAGATTATGAGTAAATTCAATTTTTTTCTAATAGTTAAGGTCCTTATTTATCTAATAGTGAGGTTTAAATTATACTTTACCGGACAAATTTTGGAAAAAATAAAATTTTTAAATGTTAGTATTTGTTCAGAGTCTTACGAGAAAGTCAGACGTTTGCAGTATTTCTCGAATTATACTATCAGTCATAGATTAGATGAAGTAAAAAAAAACTAAAAATTAAATTTTCGAAATATTCAGGTTTCTTTTTTTACAATAAAATATATCAGTTACCGAGATATTCATTGAGAAATTAATATTTAAAAATCACAAAAAATTCTCAAGCAACCTACGTTAAAATGGAGTCAAAAAATTTGGCAACGTTGCGTAGCGCGCGAGCTTCAGACCATTCAATAAATTAAAACTAATTCATTTATTTACACTGACTGCAAAAACTTAAACGTATTTAAGGTTATATTGTGCAAATGAAAATGTAAACAACCGAAGGACAGCGTTGCCAAATCACGGACAGGTTACTAGCAGCTGATTTGAAAGAATCAAATTAATTTTTGTATTTAACTAATTTTTTTTTTATTTTCAAAATTTCAACAATTAATGCCTCATATACTATTTATTATTTAATTTTAGGAATTTTTATAGGTTTCTTTTTTTAATTTATCGTATATATTGACTACTACAATTGTTTTGACTCAACTGGAGCGAAAGGATTTCCTTAACATTTTGATGTAATAATAATCCAGTTATAAATTATTTGAATGATTCAAAGCTAAATATTATATCTCTATTAGATATTAATGATATTAAATCGTTTTTTAAAGTGATAATATATTTTGAACTTTTTTTCGTACAAATACAAGATCTTCTGAAATGGAGTTAGACAATTTGCTAATTAGAACGTCGATATGGTGGTCCTTATTTCCCGATATTCATCTTTAATTTAATTAATTTATTTAAGCTCATAATGAAAGTTATAGTAGATGAATATTTTATTTACCAACGGCACACCCGAAATATCCATAGGAAACTCCTGATGGATCGATCATGTACATTGTCGGTCCATCAGCTTCACGAGCACTCAAAATTACTGAACAACCGTAAGGTCGTACAGCTGAATAGAGGGTGTATGCGTGCATGTACATGGCAACACGTTCATTTAAATATTTAACCGGGATTCCAACACCATACTGAGCGCGATAACTTGCTGCTTCTGAACGTGCAGTCTCGACAATTTGTCGAGCATCAGAAATTAAACCAGCTACGGCCATACCAATGTGCTCATCGATGTTGAATATCCTTTTATTTGCTCCGGCTTCATACAATTTTGATGTTACTAATTTTTCTACGGCAAATACAACCCCATCTTTTCCTCGAAGACTAATCACCGTTCTGAAAATTAAAAGGATAATTATAAGCGTGAAATTTCATGATCCAAAGGATGTTTAACTGTCTGTGGAAGACTTTAGTGTTCTAATATGGACATAGATATATAATTTAAATTAATTTAGCTATTTGATTATTTAAAAAATTTTTTTAACAAATAAATTATGGTAAAAAAAAAAAAAATTAGAATAAAAAAATTGACATGTAGAAATTTTAAAAAATTAAAAATGCAATTTTTTAAAAATAATTTTTTTGTTAAATAAAATTAAAAAATTGTTAAGTGACTGCTTACTTTAATGTCGTAGATATATAATAAAAAAAACTTATTGGATTAATAATAACATACCCACTATTTTCAACAGCTTTTTGAGCATATTCAACTTGAAAAACTCGACCGTCAGGCGAAAATTGCGAGGCCGATAAATCATACTAATCAAAAAAAAATAAATTTATAGGTTAGTTTAAAATGACTAAGTCATTTTTATAAGTTATGTATGATATTATTTACATAATAATATAATAATAAACTTACTCCAGTTCCAATTGAACTCATTTTAATACTTAATTAAAAACAAAATATTTTAATTGTTATTTGTATTAGTTAAATTGAAAAGTCACTCAAACAATATCGTGATTTAGCGAAAAATAACTCACGCACAAGAAACTCTGTTGTCACTTTTCTCGGTCTCGGTCTATGTTTCTTCTACAGATAGGTAATTGGCATTAAGAGACATCTACAATTTAAATAGAAAACAACTTCCCAGACAGATGGCACAGTATTAAGATAAAATGTAATTTGATTCTTCAATAATTAAGTAGGAAAATAAACAATAAAAATCGTCAGCGTATTGTTAATATTTTATTGTTAAATAAACCACAATAATGTACAGTAATATTATATAGATATGTCTTAAATAACTTTAAGACAACCAATTCTGTGTCGATACATTTAAGATGGTAAATATGTCTTAATGTAAAATGAAGAAATGAATCTACAAAATCAAATGATATATTTTTAATTTTAAAAAATCAACTGTGACAATTAAAGTAAAAATATAATTAACCTAAAAAATAATATAAGAAATACATAAATATTTAAAACGTAGACAGAGTTTTAAGATAATAGCAGTACAATACATAATATTGATAATAACAACAATAATAATAATAATCATCATCAAAATAAAATAACGATGACGAGTTAAATGACCATGTTAACAATAATTAGCTACAATTATCATGAAAGTTAATTATATAATTATACATACATATACATAATCATATACATGTGAATTTTTTTACTGCTTACATATATTACATACATGTATGCATGTATGCGTTGTAATTGTAATATTTTTAGATTCAACTTGCACTAATAAATGTACTCTTCATTTATAATTTCAATTATATTTTTTTTAATCTTTTTAATTGTCTTCTTACATTCACACAGATATTTATTTTATTTTTTAAAATTCACCCACGCCCATGATTTATTTTACTCTTTTTCTCGCAATAATTATCAATCATTTTCTTTTAATTAATCATACTGTCTGTCTACTTTTATGCACCAGAAATATTATTACACACGCATTTTGACATTATTAGAGTTACATAAGTAACATTTATGTCTAATAAAATGATCATACTTTACTTATTTATTTAAATATTTATTCTTTTATAGTCTGTTGAATAATGCAGTTATTTTTGTTATTACTTTTTAATTTTAAATTGCGTATCAATGAGAGTGTGCTGTGCAACGCATATATTGAAACAATTTTAACTAATATCATACACAAGTGATATAATTTACATTATCTTAGAATCATATTATCCATTTTGTTGTCATGCAACTTGTATTAATCATTTTTTTATCACCTATTTATTCTCATCACAAGAGGCAACTTTAATTACATTGAATTTAATATTCATCTGAGATCAGATTAATAATTGGTAAATAACACAGGATTCGTCTTGAGAGTATATCTCAGTAATATATTAAATACAAGTATCTATTAAAGAAGAAGAAAAAAAAAAACGCTGTTCCAAAAAATTAATTAAAATGAAAAATAAGCGCACGAATTTTTTATGCTCTCTACTACGACAAGCAATCATTTGTGTTCAACGACATTATTCCTTTAATGATTAAAAATTATTTTAGTTATCATTTTTTAATTCATATATTATTATTATTATTATTATTATTATTACAAATATTTTTATTATTTTTTTTTTCTTAACCACTTATTACGAAATGAGCATTTACGCATTTTATCTCCGTTGTTTTAAACACTTTAGTTGACAAACACTCTTAAATATTTTATTACTTGTTTTAATTATTTTTATTGTATACTATTAATTGTAGCATGTAGAGGCTATGAATCGCCAAATATACAAGAGATTGGATGTATCGTATAAACAATTGTTTAAATTTTTTTGGTATTCAATATATTATTTTATTTTTTATGAAAAAGTGGAAACTATTAAAGCGTGCTTTCGGCAAATTACATATTTGCTCTCTATGGTGTAAAAACGCACTTCAAGTTTATTGATTTTTATTTTATTTTTTTTTTTTTTTTTTTTTTAGAATTGAAACATTCATCCATTTAAGTAATTAATTAACTTAATTAATATCGTTTCTCCAGTTACATCGTGTATATGAAAAGCACGTGCTCATGATATTTTTCGTAATAAAGAAGGAAGATACTAAATTCAAAAAGTAAGATAATTATTTTCTTTTGTTTTAGTACACAGATGTCTACATACACATAGATTGAATTATTATGTCATTCCCGGTATTAGCTTTGATAATACATTTTAAAAATCAGTAATATTTTTTATATCGCTTTTGTTCTTTAAGCGATTGTGTCTTTAAAGTTTTGGCCTAATAATATTATTATTAATAATACTAATATAAATAAGCTTACTTTTATAATTTCATAATTTTTTCGTAATTATTTATTCACTCGATTACTTGTCATGTTTTTAGTTTTATTTATTCTTTACATATATTTATTTATCCATTAACACTACTTAAATATACGAGAAAACAATTGTTATATTACTATATATTTACGTGCCAGGATTTTTAGACATTTGTATTTATGGGCACATTTATCATAATTATTATGTTTTATTACTATTAATAGTGATCTTATATATTTTATTTATCTTTACTTTAATTATAACATTGAAATATTAACGTTTTTGTTTAAGTGGTAGCATAATAATTTTTTATCTGGCATTGTTATTTTGTACAGAATTTAGTAATAGTACTATTTAGCTTATTATTGCATCGTCCTTTTATCTCGTTTACATGCACATTTTAAACTTTAACATACAATAATCGAATAAATAGAAATAATTATAAAATTTTAAATAAAGACAAATTTAATTAAAATCACTCATGAGTTGGCATTTTATTACTTAACAATTAGTGAAAAAATTTCATTATTTTTTAAGAGGCGATCCCAGCTATTAAACGTTCATGAATTTCTCCTAATCAAAAAAAATTAGAAAAAACTTTTTGCTACTCTATAGATTATTCAATTATTTATTTTCTAATAGAGCGTTTTTTATTTTATTTTTTTATTTATTCAAAAAAAAAAAAATGATGAATCTGCAAATGCGACAAAAATAGTATGATTCTTCTCAATGAGTGCAAGGAGGTAAAAAATGAGACCCTTTCTTAATCTTTTAATTATAATTTGATTTTTTTAATCCAGTCATCAAATGTATTTAAAAACAAATTACAAGATTAAAAAAAATCTGAAACCGAAAATTTATTAATTTTTTAGCAACTTTTAATGATTTTTATTGAAAAAATAGTGATAAAATATAATGTAATTAAATACATTACATACTCCAATATAAATGGAGACAAATGTGGTGTTCTCAGATGTAATTTAAACTGATATCTTAAATTAGATTCATGCATAATTTTATAAAACCGGTCAACTATTAAAATAAATGATCATATTGGGTTAGTTCCATGTCTGTATGTTAACTATAGATTGTATTGGTGTTAGTAATTTATAACACTTAGTGAAGATTTCTTTAGACGATTGTAGGACACGGAAGTGGAGTAACACCTGCCGTGGCAATTCATGACGGATCTTAATGGACCACATTTGCTTTTATTAATCTACTTAAACGTTATTAAAATAAATAATTGCTATAAAAATCAATATAGATAAATGCAAATATTGAAATAAAATATTATTGGTAAGTATAGTTCGTAGTAAATATTTCAAATTTGTTAATGTTATTTATTTTATTGCTTAAATAAAAAACAGTACTGGGTCCTATAAATATTGCAACAAATTGTTGTTTTATCAATAGCAAGAAAAAAATATATGTTTTTCTCCTTATTACTCCCATTCCTCTTTTGAACGTTTTATTCTGTTTTCTTCACACTATTATCAGTATATAATGATATGTTTATGAATGATGTGCGATGAATATAATTTCAAATTAACCAATTTATTCAATCCTTCCGGAATTAATATCACTACATTATGTTCATTTATAAAAAATTATATTATTTACGTTTGAAATTAATGAAAATCAATAAATTTTAATAAAATTATCAAACGGTCAAGTAAAAATAAAATCAATTGGTAAATCAGATAATAAATCAGAATTATTCGAATTTTTACAGTATCCGTAAAGGATTGAATTATGTGTTAATGCAAAAATAAACCAATAATAGCAGGCACTGTTTGTTTCTATTTCTTTTTTTCTTTAGTTATGTTAAAAAATACATCAAAAAACGTATTCCTTTTTCATTTCAGATACATTAGTAATGAATTATATTATATAGAGAGTATTATTTGATTTTAATAATTCATTCTTACAATTTAAATATTTTTTTATATATATATATATATATATATATATATATATATATATATATATATATATATAATTAAATAATATTAATAATAATAATAATAATAATAATAGTGATAATATAATAAACGTTTAATTTGAATCGAGCTAATAAAGTATATTATGTATTATACAACTCTGCTGTATTCGTCGAAGGTATGAAAAAAATAAACCAGCAAATTTAGACAATCACTCAAGACCTACTGTACACTAAATTACCATTTAAACAATATTTTATTTCACTAAAAATTTAAACTTGTCTTTATAATTTTTAGAAGTCAATAGTCAAATTTCACTACATCGAAATATTAGTTACGTTTTTTTTTTTTTTTTTTTTTCGTTTGACGGCCCAAAAAAAATTTGTGACACTAATAATCGAGTAATTTTAATTTACAAAGTTTCGCATTAATTACGATAAAGAAGAAGACTAATTGCAATCATTATATAATTAATAATAAAAAATAACGACAGTATCAATAATAAGACAGCCGACAATAACAATAATCAATCGAACATTTAAGAAAAGCACTTGCATCAGTATCCATTATATTAATACTAAATCATTAGTGTATTTGTATCTATTTTAATTAATTTTCGTCAATTTATTTAAAAAAAAATTATGCATATAATGGTGCATCTTCGTTATAATATCGACCTTTACTTATACATTAATTTAATTTTTTATTTTTTCATTGTCCAAACACTTGATAAAAAGACGACGCAAACGAATCTAACGTACTACCACATCATTTACGTTAACACATTTCTCTTTAACCAAATATTATATATGCATATATAAACCTTTCTTAAGAGGCCTCGTACCAGTTTTTCCTATTATATACACTGAATTCAATCCACTTGATAAAACCGATGTAATAATTACTTTAAGCTAATCGCTACCTGAATTAATATATATTTTTTTTTTTTACTACAAAATTAATAATAAAAAAAAAATACAATTACAGAATCAAGCTTTAAGTATAAATAAAGATAATTTTACATCAGTTTCAAATGATCAAGAGTCTGAATTGAGTTCAATTTACAATGGGACGTTCATATCTCACAATGTATAAGATATAATAAATAATCAATTTTATTTATTTATCCATTCAATTAGAATGTGTACTTTTTTTTTCTAAATGATAAATCTCCAAACTCGTAACGATAAAAAATAATTTTTTATTATTTTTTTGTATTCTAATTATTTTTTTATTTTTGTTTTATCCTTTAGTTGACTTTAACTTAAGCCATGGTCGATTGATTAGCATCTGCATTTTGTGTGACGGAAGGTGTTGTCGTGTTAACATTGCTATCAGTTGAATTACCACTGGCAGATGCAGTGGCCGTCGTAGTTTCTGTTGGCTGTCCACCATCGGTAGTCGTTTCCGACGATCGCATATATTTAGGTAATAATTGCGAATTTAAATTCGGCTGAATTCGCAATTCTTGTTCAGTAAAATTAAATAATGGTGGTAATTCACGGCCATTTGGCAATAGTGTTCCTTGATCTCGTAATTCATTAAAGAACTGATGAGCACATGCAGCCAGAGGTGTTATTCGTAATGGTGGTGTGTATTCAAGGAGCCGAGATACTAAATCCATTGCTTCTGGCGGAGTACGGGCTCGGAATACCTGAAAAATCAATTAATATATTATATCAGCTAAATAATTATAATATAATACCTTGATTTCAACCATTTATACAATTTCCGATCAAGAAGTTTATTTATTATTATTTTTATTTAAATATATTTATTAAACTGTCACCTTATTTTTTATACTTTGTATCCGATGTAAAAATCGAATAATTAGATACTTTTTTATGATTTTTTTTTTAAATGATAGATAATTACAAAAATTATAATACTCTAATTTGATAATAAGCTGGAGATATCATTTATGTCAATAAGAATTTTTTAATTTTATAAAATATTTATAAAAATTACTTCTTACATTTTTATAGTACTAATTTAAAGTCTACTTGCAACAATGAATTATAACTTATTTTTGTTTTTTTTTTTTTCGATTTTTAGTGTAAAAATTATCTAAGCATTAAAAATATTTCAAGTTATACTTGATGATAAAATTTGATAAAAATATGATGTAGAATAAATGGTTGAGTATGAAAATACAAAATAGTAGAAACCTTCATTGATTTATGAAATGACGAAAAATTAAGATACTGAGAATTGTAAATAAGGCATTTAAATGCGATATAATGAAGCAGATATGAATTGATGACGATAGTTATGATTGATAATGAAATTTTATTTGTAATCAATAATTAAAAGCAATTAAATCTCTATAAGTATATATAATATTATTAATTAACATAATTTTTATTAATTAACCGTCACTTTATATTGCATATTATTAGAGTAAGTGATTTTTCTCTGCATAACCTCAAGATTATCTTCGGCAATACGATGGAATTTACGTTAGTAATGTTATCTGTCTGATGATTCAGCGAGCAAAAAAGTGGATGACTCGAGAACAAAAAAAAAGAGAGAGAGAGAGAAAGAATAAGGAAAAAAATAAATTAAAATGGATATCACACGGCAAACGATGTATTATTTCTTTTATTGTTTTTTTTTACTTTATTGGATTAAAAAAAAAAAAAATTAGAAAATAAAACAAAAAAATTGTAAGGAATTTTAAAAATATAAAAACTAAAGAGTTGGATCGACTTCAATTTTTCAGTAACCATAATTAATTTAATTTTTTTTTTTTGTTAGTTGAAAAGTGGTCAAATTTGTGGAAAGATAAAAAAAAACCAACGCAAGTTGGTGACAACAATTTTCAGAGCATTGCTTCAAGAGAAACCACTTACTCTAATTTTTTGATGCTTTGTCGTACACTTTGGAGCGCTCATTCGTTGGAGCATGAACTGTAATGACGAGAATAAACCTGATTTGATGAAGAATTTACGGTGTTTACACAAAAATAAAAAAAAAATATAAATCCTTAAACTCCGAAACAATATTAAAATGTAATCCGTTATTGATTAAAAATAAAATAGAAAATTTATCTGTAGAATTTTTTCAGTGTTGGCGATTGATTAACAACAAGTATTCAGTGATATGAATGTATAATTGATAAATAACATACCTTTTGCCAAGGGTGTGACTTAATCTGGGGAAATTTAAATTCTGTATAGTTTGGATTCATCTCGCGAATTTGGTCACGTGTCGGTGTACCGAGAACTTTAATTATTTCTACAAGCTGATCAACACCACTATCACCGGGGAAAATTGGTTGACCGAGTAATAACTCTGCTAATACACAACCAGCGCTCCAAACATCTATCAAAAAATATTGACAATATATTAATTTAAAAAATTCCAATGAAAATATTTAAAATAAAATAATTAGTTGTTCTTACCGATTTTCGTAGTATAATCGATAGCACCGAAAATGAGTTCTGGTGCTCGATAATAACGACTACAGATGTAAGACACGTTAGGCTCTCCTCTGATGAGATGCTTAGCTGAACCAAAATCACAGAGTTTCAATACACCGCTCTCTGGGTCTAGGAGTAAGTTTTGTGGCTTTATGTCTCTGTGACAAATTCCTAGTGAATGAATATATGCCAACGATCGAAACAGTTGATACATATAAAGCTGAAAAATTAATTCTCTGTGATTATTAATCAAATTTAATCACACGAAAAAAAAAAAAAAAAAAAAAAAAAAATTTTGACTAAAGAGATTCAATTTAAGATGATAAAAATAAATTATTTACCTTAATATAACTCATCGGTATCGTTTGTTTACTCTTGCTGTAATGCCGCGCGACTTTATACACTGTTTCCGGTATATATTCCAGCACAAGATTGAGATAAACTTCATCCTTCTAAAAATGATGATAAAAAAAAATAAAAAATAAAAAAAAATTCAGAAATATAGTAACTATAATGGATTGAACGAGAAAAAAAAAACGATACTAATTATAATGATGAGAGTTACAAAATAAAAATTTGCAAAATGAAATATTAGCTGAAATTATGGTTTCTAAAACTTGAAAATAAATACATGTACTTTAATTGTTATTTGTGTGATTATTATAAAAAATAAGATTGCGAATAAATGACACTGTGGCTGTTGTATCGTGAATATTTATCAACTGACACGAAACAATTTCCACGCATAAGTAACTATGACTATAAATAAACTAATAAAGCTGCTTTTTCTACATTATTTTTATTATGAATCTTTATACTCTGCAGGCTTATTATTTATTAGATGATTTCTTTTACATACAACACTGATAATTGATTTATATTTACTGATCATTCGTTTAAATGTAAACACATTAGCAATTGTAATAATAATCTTTTAAAAAAACAATATAAAAGGGACGTATGTGTATAAATATAGTTTACATAATTATAGATATTAATATGCTGTGGGGGTAAAAAAGCATTTAGCTTTAAACACCGTAAGAGAAATCACTCAACAAAAATCTACGTGTGGGTACGCTTATAACTTACGGACACATGAAAAACTGGATTAGTTGAGTTTAAGACGTTCTACAAAATAATAGAGGAACAACAATAGTGCATGCATTTATCTAAAGATATATTTGCATATTATAATTAACTTTTATTTTTTAACTTATTTATCTTTTAAATGCTCAATTTTGACATTCCTCTTTAGAAGAACAGGTTAATAAATTAACACATACTATAAATATTTAAAATTTTTCTCTATCTATATGATACTGAGAGTGTATAATATTTGAAATACAATTATTAAATAAAAAAAACGTATATGTATATAAATAAATTTTTTTATCATTTATCCAACACTACTAAGTAATATTAATTTATCAACATGTTCCATTTATTAATAATAAAAATTATCAACAGAAAAAATAATAAATTACCTTATCACCACTAGAGTAGAAGAAGTATTTAAGTTTAACGATATTACAATGTTCCAATCGTCGCATTATTTGGAGTTCTCTATTCTGTAAAATAAAAAAAAAATAAAAAAAAAACAATATTAGTATATTAATAAACATGAACAAATAATTATAATTATAAAAAAAATATGTTGTGATAATTAACTAACCTTGAACCTTTTATCTTGTAGCACTTTCTTGATCGCCACCATTTCACCATTGTCGCAGAGTTTAGCTTGATATACAACTCCAAAACTCCCATTACCAATTACTTTGGTATCAGTATATGCCACTTCCTGTGGATGATCTGGACCAGCACCAGGAGTGGCAACCACGGTGGTAACTTTACTTCCATCCTTGCCTGAATTGCACATTGCACCACCCATAGAAACAAGCAAAAAACGAAAACGCTACAGTGATATGTGATCGTTAAAAGAGGAAAAAAGTTAAAAACAAAATGTAACATGGATAAAAGAAAAAAAAAAAAACTCTAAAATGTACATGGATCACGTCAATGGTTTCATTTTTTCAATTAATTAAATATACTAAAAATGAAAATAATTATCACGTTAATCTAAAATTACTCACATTTAATTGAAGTTAACCTCGTAAATAAGTTACGAATTCCTTTATAACTTTTGAATGACATTTTTCTATTTTTATCACCCAATTTATTGTTATTATCATTATTATTATTATTATTTTTGCTATCATTATGCCGATTCTTGTTATCACTATCAATAATAAAACTTTTTGATATAATATTATTGTTACGATTAATATTTTTTAAACTTGTTTTTGGATATCTCCAATTCTGACTTGGCTCTGACCAATTAAGAGCAGTTAACGAAGTCATTTTTTTTTGTACTGTATTTGCTTAAGAAAATAATTTTTCTCTTTTTTCATAAAACTATTAGCCAAACCAATTATTTATCGTTAACGGTATCCTCGGATCTAACTATAAATAGATTAACAAGTAACTTAAAACATTATCACAAGTATGAAAATTCAGTACCGTTTAAAAAAATAAATGCACAAACATTAATTTTATAAAACACGTTATAATAAAATTATTTTTCGTAATTGTATATTGTAATCATATGATTAGTAATCATCATACTAACCACGATAATAAAAGATAACACTTAAATACACAGAGATCTTTGTGAAAAAATTTAATTATTCTTTTATACTTTTTTTTTTTCTTCTTTAACAATAATAATAATTAATGTTTATTTAATATTTGATAAGCAATGATCGATAATTAGAAGAAAACGATTTAAATTGTAGTTGAGAAGAAAAAAAATCATACTATAAAGAAATCGTTTACAATATTTAAAATAATTAACTGTAATAATATATTGTAAATTATTAACTACATATACTTAAATACAATAACTCGGTGCGTTTACTTGTACGTTAACTCGTCGAATGTTTCGCGCTATATTTAGTCAACGTAAGAAGATAACGCATTAACAAACTAACTAGTGTAGTGCGCCAGCGCGCGAATCAAATGGACAAGCGATCTCACACTTTATGTCAACTCTCTAACTTGTTTTGAATATCAGTCACGTAGATACTTCAACAAATCTTAATACATATAAATTTGTAAACTTATAGATATATTTAGACTCTTTTTTTTTTTTACATTTTCGACCTTATCATATCTGACAATTGTTTATTAATTTAATATATCATATCTTATTTACGAAATATATATGATCTATTAAAACTTTTTAATAAAAATATCTTCTGCTAGAATGAATATATTTAAATCAAATAAAAAAAAAAAACACCTGACATTTATTTAATTACATATTGATTTTTTTGCTTTACAATTTATTGATATATTTACTGAGGAACGGATTGGCAACCATTTAAATAATAATTGTTAAGTACGTCAGAGTCTTGCAAACAAAAACTTACATTAGATTAGAGTGTCGTCGACACTATCGTCATCAATGTAGCATTGCGTCCTTCAACAGTCTACCGAATGTTATCAAGTTCAATGATGCGTAACGATTAGATTTTCCTATCGTCTATTTTACGAGTGCGTAAGTCATTATTCAGTTGATAATTTAAGTTAATACCATACATATTATTGCTCTCTATATTTCGTCAGCAAATAATAAGCTCTAAAAATTCCCAGAAGTAAATTGTACTCCATTTTTTTATGGTAATAATTATTTTTAAAAAAAGGAAGAAAAAAAAATGATTTGTGAAAGATTTATGAATTTTTGAACTTGATGCAATAATTTAAAAAAAGGGATTTTTTTAATTTGTTGAATCAATCGTTGAAAAAAAAATTTTTTTTTTTTTTTAAGATTATTTCATGTCTGATTTTACTTCGAGTTCAAATAAATCAATTCAGGCAAAAAATAAGTAATCTAATCAAAAAACCAATAGTTACAATACAATAGAAAAATTTTAATGAACAACTTTTACCTTAGTCGTCAGGTGGGTACAAAGTTATCAAATGCGCTGGCGCGAGAGCGGGCGCACTACATTATTCATTATCGTCAAGCAAAAAAAATTGAAATAATACCTAATACATGATAATTGCCGTCTACTTTACCTCCATTTCTCGTCAATTAACTAATTAAACAGTGAAATTATTCGTGATAATTAAACCACTGAGAGTAATAACAATTTATAAAAGTCAACCTCAAATGATAATGAAATAGATACAGATAAAGAGAAATGGAGATAGAATTAACAACATTGAAATAGACAATAACCATACTTGGGACATATAATATGAACTTGAAAGATCATTCAAGTTAAGTCTATTTCGATGCGTTAAATTACTAATAAGCCATTAATATAAACGGCAATCTGTTAGCAAAAATAAAAATGATTTATTTATAAAATGTCGCAAGAAAAACGAGTACTGCTGACGTTTGAGGCCGTTCAGGGCCGAAAATAAAATTTATTTTATGAGCCACTTTTTTTTAGTTTTTATTAAAATCCTAAAACTATAATTATACCTCGTGTATCAGCAGCTAAATAGTGACCATTTGCTTATTCGCAGTATCACGAATAAAGATTTGCTATTTAATAAAACGAAGAAAATTTTCTAAATTACCAATGACGTGAACATGACACATTGAAAATTTCTTTAAAAAAAAAAAAAATTAATAAATAAATGTTAAAATAAAAAAAAATAATAATCATCATATTTGGAAAACAAAGAATAAACGGGATTATATATGTGATTATGTGAGCAGAAAGGGTAATAAAAAAAAAAATAAAGAAAAAAAAAGTGAAGATAGGTTAGGTTATGGAATGGCGTGGTAAAACTACTCACTGCTGATCTTCATGCCACCCAGGGGCGGATTTGCGGGAGGTTTAGTCCCCTCAGCAAAAGAGGTGGTCCTTGGACGGCCGCTCATTCTGAATTGCAAGCCACCACCTCCACCTTTGTCTCTTCCGCTTTTATCAAATAAAATTCGAGTGACTTGTGATTGCTACCGTTTGACAATGAAAATTCAACTAAAAAACACAGCACTAGATTGTAAATTTTAGACAATAATAATTTCAAATTTTGAGTGATAATAATAATACTACTTAAGTTGTTGTTAGTAGTGATATTAATTTTATTATTATTATTATTAATCCAACTTGTTATATTAGGTATCACGTACATCAATGACAGCCAATATCACATCGCGTACCCATCAGCTATTTTACCAACGATAACTGGTAGTGATGAAAATTATGATTATGATGATATAGTATAGCCTCTCTTGTCTCTCGATGTACACGCTCTTCTCAACTCAATCGGTAGTGTAGTTGAATTTATTTAATCGTATTATATATATTCGTATAGATGTATATATATATATAACACTTATGACGATATTTTAATATCGCGTCAACGCATTTTTCACTCTTAAACACACACACACACACACACAACTGCAATGTTATTTAATATCAATCACTATTTAAAAACACAAAATAATAAAATAAAAAATAAAATGACTTTTTTTGCGGTTATGGCTTCGTATTTCCGTAGTCAGTACTGTTGTACCTGCCGGCTATTATTGATAATCTAGTCCCACAGGGTTGGTGAGGGGAAAAATACAATCCGCTTGTTTCTTCTCGTCTCTACAAATTATACACAAAAATATTATCGAACCTTATGTTCTCACTGACCTAAAACGAGTGTTAATATATTAAATATGATAATTGTTGGTTGTCGTTATTTTTTAAAATCATCAGCACTTGACAACGATGAGCAGAAGAAACCGCGGCACAGCGCACTTGCTAATAATCAAGAAACTACACACACACACACACCCACACACACACATAGACATAGACAGCCAACGGACAAGAGCAAGAGGGTACTGCGGTGGATACGAGAAAGAAGAGCACCAGTACTATGTATCAACGTTTTTAGAATGGTTAGTAGTAACGCGCCGCGCACGGGCAACCTACTATACAATGATAACGACGACAATTATATAGCTTCACACACTCAATGAAGATCGCCTTTTGCTTCTCTCTTTTTTTTTCTATTTTTCTCTATCTTTTATTTTTATTTTTTTTCTACTTGGAAAATTTCTTCAGAACACTAGGATTCTAGAGCACTGAACACACTTAACCGTGACTATGATCGTGCGTAAACTCAACTGTCGTTTCTAATAGACTATATTAAAGAGATTATACAGACGTACTCAATAATTCTGATCGCCCACGTCGCACCTTTTCCCTACTTCTTTCTCTCAAAGTCTCGCAACACAACGCTTTTCGAGTAAACTTTTTTTTTTTAAACTTTTTACTCAACATATAAGTAATATATACTACGACGCAACTAAATCATTAACATGATACTCCGTCTTATAATATTTTGATCTAGAGAGTATCCCACTATTTAGAATTAACCACATTCAATTCTTTCACAACAAACTCCTTCAAAGTCAAAATCGTTGCTTTTACCTGTAACAAAAACAATTTATTTTAAATATTTATTCACATACTTAATAGTTAACTTTTATTTCCATTCGTATAAAATACCTGTCTATCGTTAGCTTACGCACGATCAGAGGTTTATTCTCCTACCTCAACACCACTCGCACTCTCTTCTTCCGCTAGTCTTTAACGTCACGTTAAATCTTATGTTATAAATGTCAAACAGTATTCATTGATACAAAAATAACCGATTTATCATTTTGATTTCTACAAGTAATAAAAATTTATATTAATTATAGAAATAATAATAATATTATTATTATTGACAGTACTAAGTATTTATAATAAAAAATAACAACTAATTAAATCGTAATAATTTATCGTCGTGCACACCATTTTCCCGTGGGGACGACGACGACGAAAGCAAAGCTCCGCGTTAACTACGACGACGACGACGACGACGTGTGGGCGGCGTCACCACCGTTTTTGTCATTCACACTGTCAGTTTTTTATAGTATATATATACATATATATGTTTTAATTATTATCAGTACCAATCAAATGTATATGCATATAAGTATACAGAGTACGTAATATATTTATGATATAATTTATATACATATATATGTAATATATTATTATTATTATTATTACACTATAAATGAACGTTATTATCCGCGTTTTTCAAACGCAATAATAAAACTCGTTCGTTGTTATTTATGTGTCGTTATTCTAGTCCACAGAAACATCACACCAGTCACAGATTTTTCGAAGCCTTCTCAGACATTGACCCGTTCGGGCGAGATCGGACCACTCGAAGTTTTACGAAAGCGCACGACTGTGACGTCAACGATTACTCCCATCCCGGTCACGTCAGATCACCTTTTATTTGCCCACTAGCGACAATTATATTATGCGGTAAATTTGAATATTTGATTTATCCATTTTGATTCTTTATGAACATTAATTTAGCATGAAAATTAAGTTAGCCGACATTTTTTATTGAAAAAATCATTACAAAAAAATAAAAAAAGAAAATTCACTTGTTAAAAACTTCAAAAGCTATAAGTGCAATTTTTTTTAAAATATTTTTTTAGTTTTAATTTAATAAATTAAGCAAAATAAAAAAATCAAATTTTTTGTTAAATAAAATTAAAAATGGTCAAGTGACAGGTAACTTTAATATCATTGATTCTTTAGATAAGTTGCCGACACAAGTGTCGATATTTCAGATGACTGAATTGACGATAGAAAATAAAAAAAGTGATCGAAATAATGATTGATAATGAGTGACATCTGGAAGACGAGAAGGAATGTCTGTTGGAATTTTTTTTTTCTCATCACCGCGGGGTTAGTCGTTTTGAAACGCGGGATGTTGTTTAAGTTGGAGCTTGGAAGCCACGCGTTGCACATATATCCTGAGGAGCGAAGCTTCCTTTTTACGCGGCCAACATTTTTTTATTATCTTATTATTTATTAAATTATTATTATTTAAATTCGCGTTCTGTAATTGTTATTGTGTTAATAACTAGTTTTGCTAAATAATTATTATTATTGCTCCGATTTTATTTTATTTGTGTATTTAAATGATATGTGCCAAAGTGTTTGAGTGAATTTTTAATTGTTGTTCTTATTTACATCTTAAAAAATATCATACGTAAGTATTTATTATTTAAGCTAAAAAAAATTATCTACCTGTTTTTTTTTTTTTTATTTTTAATTAAAAAATAATATTTAAAAAGTTAAGGAAAAATTAAGCAACTTATTGTAGGGAAAAGTGAAAGTTTGAAAAAAAAAAAAAAAATAAATTTTGCAAAGTCAAAGCCAAACATAACAAAAAAACATATTTAGTGCGCTTAAAATATTCGAGATTTATGAATGCTAAAAAAACGATAGAAGGACGCGCGAGGGACTATAAGAAATACCGCAGGTACAAAAACTACCTGAATGATTTTGGATGTTGGTCTTGGGCAGAAGACCGGTAGGCAGTTATTCATATTCGTTAAAATACAGACTAAAAGACGTTGCGTACAGACTATATACTTATATACTCTTCTTTTTTAAAATCTCCTAACACATTTATACTTTACAGGCTTGTACCTTACACCGTTGTCACTACTACAGCTACAAAGACCACTACTACACTACTTGAAACAACTCGATCCAACAACAAGGACCAATGTAAGAAAATTTACAGCATCATACTCATCTTGTACCTGACGTTTTTGCACCTGCATTTTCTTAAAATTATCCCAAAATGTCACAATCTGTCACGTTAAAGGTAAACCTTTAAAAAAAAAAAAGTATACCGCTGTGTAAATCCATTAAGTGCTGAGACTTTCAAATAATACATGAGGCAGGTACATCCGCGTCCTTTACTTTTATTATTATTACTCCTGCTGTTGTTATTATTATTATTCTTTTGTATATGATAATGGTGAATGTGTCATTACAGCTTAATCCTTTGATTAATTGTCCTCAAAAAGTTAATGCTCATTCAAGTGAGTAATAAACATGAGTATTAAGCATGTGCAAAATCAGAATTAAATTTACTCAAGTATGTACTCCAGTACTGGTACACAATCTCATCCTGGTCTGGTTACTGGTTACTGGCGCTTGCCTCGAATCTCTTCTATATAAGGGTGAACATATATTGTATGTAGTACCTACATGCTCATTTCGACATAACAGCTGTGTTGAAACAACAATGGTTTTTGTCAAGCACCCCGTTGAGTTGATCGAATGAGCCCACTGAGTGACCCTATGCTTCTGAATCTTAGCTCCTCCTCGATATACACATCAGTAATACTATACTCTGTACTTAATATATTTATACATATAATGTATATATTTTTTCTTCTTTACAAATTCAGGTAAGAATTACATTGCAGTAATCTCGTGCGATGCCTTCTTTTCTCTAACAATGGTTGTAAAAAAAAAAAAAGAACAATAAAAGGCACGTAATCTCTGCCGTTAATTATTTATTACGCAGATGATGATGGTGATGATGCAGTGATCATTGAAATCACTATTCTAATGTAATGGGAGTTAAGCGGGCACGAGTTAAAAATAAAAAGGGGACAATTGTATGAGCGGCTTTTCATTCAAATTAAAGACATGGATCAGAGACAGAGTGAGTGACATCGTGAGAATACAGTGATATTTTTATGTCTGTATATGTAGGATACATTAACGGTGTTAGGGGATGACGATGATTCTTCTCGGTTCGCTCGTGCGGGCCAACTGAATCTCACTTATTCACTTTCTGAGTGAGCACATGAAAATTATTTTTGATCCAATGCACATTTCAGTTATACGGTTAATGCGGGATGACGAATCGACAGCCCAGATACCAAGAGGGTAAATGTTCAGGGGCTGTGTTACTCACTCTATTTAATCACACAAAAAAATATTGGTATTATAAATAAATATATAAATAGAAATATAATATACAATGTCGAGATGGGATTAGTATCGCACACATTTAAAAAAAAAATAACAGATGTATGTATAAATGTACATATACGTGCGCATTACTACCACATAAATGCGCAGACGGTACTTTCTGTATTAATTATTCATAGACATTGATTCAGTGCATATTAAACTTTGCTCGAAATATCCAAGTCTTTTGTAGTTGTAGAGACACATCCTCAAGCTTTCCAGTTTGTGGGTAATCTTTCAAAGCTCACCACCTTTAGGACTACTTTTTTTTCTATCTAGCGCCATCAACGACGACTCAATTACCGTCTTTGTGTCTACCCTTTATTTATTATTTTTGCCTTTTTTTTTTTAACTGTAATTTTTTTCCTGTATCTTTCTTTTGAATAGATACTCGTTTATGCTAGAAAAAAAGAGTTTAAAAAGTATTATATAATATATTAATATTATTTTTATTATTTTTGTTACAGACAATAAAGAAGATAAAAATGAAGCAACTGACGAAATTGATATTTATGATTCTTGTTTGTGGCGGTTACTCTATGCCTTCTAGTCACTCATCAGTGCAAACAATAAGCACCAGTGATTCAGAGACAATTAAAAATTTAAATAATATTAATAAAGGAGAAAAAGCTGCCCAAATAAATATTTGTAATCTTGAACAGAGACAGGTACCTATTTTTTGTACTTGTGACGCTGACAAAATCGGTAATGCCACAGAAGCTAACTGTGTTATACTGGACGTCTTGAAACCCGATGACATAATATGGAATTATTTTATGTCACAACCATTACTTGAAAAACTGTCATTTAAAGTCAGAATTGGTGGTAACATGTCGCATGTCCCAACCAAAGCCATTAGATCGCTGACTCAGTTAAAGCAGATTAATTTCAGACATGCTAACTTTGAAGAAATAACCGAGGGTGCATTTGCTAATGAGCCTAGTGTTATTGTTGTTGATATTGCTGAGTGTGGTATCAAGCAATTGAAATCACACGCATTTGTAAACATGACTAATATCGATTTTATCAACCTCGATGACAATCAAATTCTCGAGATTAATAGGTAAGAAAATTTTTTCCTTTACTCATCTATACTTGTTATACTTTTTAGTATCTATAAAAAAAAAGTTTATACACTTGAATAAACTCTGAAAAAAAAAAAAATAATAACTAAAGGATAGAGATTGATGGTTGAATAAATTTGTTTTTTAGGGAGGTCTTTGTCAATCTTCCGGTGTTAAAGAAGCTCTTTATAAACCGTAACAATATTACATCTCTTCATGATCGGGCATTCAAGCATTTAACATCACTTCTAGAACTCGAACTGAGTTACAATAACATAGAAGTGATAACAACTGAACATTTTATTGGATTAAAGTCACTCGTGAGCCTGAGTTTGCGTTCGAATAAAATAGCTATGCTTGGAGAGCATACATTTATTGAAATGCAAGAATTACAAAAACTGGAAATAGATAATAATCTTATCGAGTACATTCATCCTAAAGCATTTGAAAACATGCGTAATTTGCGCACATTAAATTTGAGTTCTAATAAACTTAAATATTTGGCAGCGGATATTTTTACCGGCGCACTATCGATTAATAATCTTGATTTGCAGAACAATACACTCGTAAGAGTTACATTTGACAATATAAAACCGATTATAACAAACTTTTATGGAGTTTCCAGTTACTTGTCCCTCGACGGTAAGTTTTTCTGTTTAACTACATATATTATGTACTATTATTACTATTGATATCAATCTATCTTTGTCCATCTATGTTTATTCTCATTCACATATGTTTTTATTCATAACTAGCATATAGAATTATCATTGGTACACAAACCGGTCTCTAAAGACCAAAGTAGAGCCCTGTAAGACCCCATACGATGCATACTGTATGAAAGAACAATAACCCGTTGATTTTGCATTCGCCAAGGGGGATCGAATTCACTAACCCTTCATTTCTTTCCGCATTATTTTTTATTATCTCTTTCTCTTTTGCTCTCTAGCATTTTATTTTTTGTTTACTTACTCACTTGCAGGTATATAGTACATACTACATGTAAACAACATTTATGTACACACGCGTATGTCATGTCTATACTTTTTATTTAATTCACGATTCATACACAGAAGTACACTCTCAACCTTGTACCCAACTACACCCAATTGAATCTTCTGCCTTTTGTATTTTGACAAACATTAATAAACGCATAAAATCAAAATATTTATGAGTTGCATGATACATTACATTACTTATAAATAAATTAAATTACGAGTACATGCAATTTAACCAAATATTTCTTGGCGATTAAATCTCCATTAAAATTTTTCGACGGTTTCCTTTCGTTATTTTGTTTTTTCTATCATATTTTTCAGTTGATAATTCTGTCAATCTGCTTGTTGATTCTGTAGGATATAATTTGACAGAAAGTGAACTTGTTTTGCGAATAACGCGAGATAGGGTGAACTTTTCAGCAAGCTCCATCGCGTTGTAGGCGTGCCCCGTATATTAGGTTTTAATCATTTAGGGGATGAAATTTCAGGGTCGTAGGCGTGGTAGTCTACAGCCCTACCGGGAACACCCCTTCCTGTCTGCATAGCCTGGTCCTGTCTATCTTTTTGCAACCCCTGCAGCATCAGCTACTTCGAGGATAAGTCTGTACAGGGTACACCCGAAAGTAAAGTCCCAAGTTGATGCCAAAGGCATATCATTTTATCTTTCTCATTTAATAATTCAATGGACTTCGGTATGTGTCTCATCTCTACCGTTACACTCAAATTGTTTTTTATTTTTTTTTTTGTGTTATTATTGTGTATGCCTTTAGTTGGGTATTATTCTCTTCTCCATGCCGCATAACTGGTCGTAAATATAAAAAAAAAGTTTCTTCTTAAAATAGAAAAATAGATAAAAGATTTCACGCTGGATGATCTGAGTATCCGAAAGGAACCTGGAAAAGAAAAAAAAAATAAAAAGAGACCACCTGGACACATTTTTTCAGAGTACAATACTTGTCCACTGTTGCCATTTACCTGGAAAAGATTCAAGGAACGAAAAGATGAAGGTTTCTCTCGGGATTATATTTTATATTTTATTTTTTTTTTTTAGCTTTTACTTTACTTTACCGTTTTCTCCCTTACTTCTATATACTGTACGTATTCCTTTAGCGTGGTGGTCGGCAAGCTTCGATGCGTCAACGCTCTGCCACTCGCCATATAAATTTCTAAGAGCCCGAGGGCAGTATTACATAGGCAGGGAGGCTTACGCAGGAAATACCTAGGCCGCAAGGGCGCAAAGCGTTACCTACATACATATATAATAAATAGGATTCGTTCAAGCAATTGCCAATTATATCAAACAACATTTTTTTGCGTTATATCCTCATCACTCAACCTTTCATAAATAAATATATTTTCTTGGAGTTACAGGTGTGAGATTATAGTTAATAAATTACAACAAATTAGTTATTCAATTAGCATTTGGTGACTTTGTTCAACCGGAATCAAAAGGAACAAAAGAGTAAATCAAAGAGCTCTTACGCTCGATTTACCGTACTCTTTGTTATATTTTATATCTCTTACTAACTTATTTACATTTTATGTACTTTATACTTAATCCCGATTCTCTTGTCATTTATAAATAAAAAATTTTATCTTAGATATATAATTTTTTTATAAATATTTATTTAATAACCATTGATTAAATTTTAAACTCTGACTTAGTGGTATACTATTTTAATATGAGTTATATGTGAATAAAATTATTATTCCAAATATTCAAATTTACTTTTCATTTTATATCATTTTAATATTTCAAAGTTCTACTTAGCAAATTGTTTAACTTTACATTTTTTAGGAGGTGATTCTTTGATATTTTTAGACAGTAATAGTTCAAAATATATATTATTTGAGTAATCTAAAAAAAATTTTTTTTTCATATATATATTATTAGATTATGGGTATAATATTTAAATAAATGAAGAAATTTATTTAAACAAATATAATGCCTTTATTAAATTATGACTCGAAAAGAATATCTTTACAAGGAGCGCTCTTGTAATCAACTGACTAAAACTCGACCGAAAAAGTGTAACAATTTTTCAGTCACACACATTTAATAATAACAATAATAATAATAATAATAATGTATTGTAATTTTATTGACAAGACCGTAGGACAATGTCCTCTAACGGTCTGAAGATAATACAAAAAAAGTACAGAGTATTATGTAACAATATGATAAAAAGTAAGTAACAAATTATGAAATAAGTTTTTACAAAGCAGTAATATTAAGGTCTCTCTTAATAATAATAATTAATAATAATAATAATAATAATAATAATAATAATAATAATAATAACAATAATAATAATCGTTTATTTAGCATTTTGCTATTACATATTCTTTTAAAAATAAACAATTTATATAAAAATATTACATTTTAATAAATAATCATTCGTTAAGCACATTAAAAATCATTTTTCTGAATAAATTACTTTAATATAATCCTTTAAATCTCTCTTAAAACTACTAAGCGTTTTCTGCTGCTTAATATCGTCAGGAAGATCATTATAATATCTCATTCCTTTATACAATATACTGTTTTCCGCAGAGCTCGTTCTCGTATTTTTAATATCTATGTAACTACACTGTCTAGTATTGTAGTTATGTACATTACTTCTGGTTGCAATTTTATCTGATAAATAATTAGGTGTAAGATTGTGGATCATTTTGAAAATAAGAATACACGTATTATAAATCACACGTTGATGTATACTCATCCACCCTAATACATCCAACATAGTTTTAATATTTGTATATTTATTTACACCTAGCACTATCCGCATAGCTCTGTTTTGAACTTTTTGTAGACTTTTTAATTGAGATTGATTATAATTTAACATCAGAGTGCTGCAGTACTCGAAATGAGGTGAAATAATAGATTTGTAAATAATACTTTTTGTGTAACTCGACACAGAGTTATTTAATCTATACAAGATGTTTGAATTGATATTGAATTGATTTATGGATAAAAAAAAATTTATTTTAATTTACTTTATTATCGCATAAATGGAGGATTTTCTAAAATAGAGTTAGACAATTCGCTAATTAGAATATTGATTTTTATCTTTTTTTAATGAAATACACATTTTTAGAGTCTAGAGCTTTTAATTCTTATTATCGGGACATCAAAGCACGCTCATTTGCCAGAAATGATTAATCCCATTTATAAAATGAAGATAATAAAGTACCAATTAATTCACCTTACCCTATCAATTATTAACCACATAAATTCATTCATCATATAATAAATGATATTTATTACATATATTTTATTATAATAACTGATTTTCAATCATCCAAATTACCATTTAGAATTATCGCATTTCATCCATTAATTCAATAATTTATATTTTCAACTTTTTTCTTTTTAGTTTGCTTCTCGATATTTAAAATTAACACCCTTACCATCCAGTGATGCTATGTTAATAATTAATTAGCTGATAGTATTTATAGATCACTAGTGAGTGTTCTAAAAATATGACACTAATACTCTGAAAATTATGTAAGCGTATAGTAGATATTAAGTACAATGACCTTTCATAACTATATATTTCCATTGAATCAACCCCTTTAATTATACACATACATTTATAGGTACTTTTTGTTATATTTTTCATGATATGTTGACTAATATATAAAAATTATTTTTTATAGATAATCAATTGACGTGTGACTGCAATTTGGCTTGGATTAAAGGCTTGAGAAATGAAACGATTAATCAAAAACTTAAAGATTCGCTTGATTTGTTGACGTGTTTCGAAGAGCAGAATGGAACCCTTCAAGCTAGCCAGACGATGGAAAATGATAAAGCCCATGTAACGTCGGGAAAATCTAAGACTGGTGAGTGAGAAATTGTATTGTGTTATTGTTGTTATATCAGACTTACATACTAATGTATATATGATACAAGCAGTAGTGATTAACGAGCAAATAATTCATGTACATACACTTTTAAGGGGAAATTTCTGACATCAATAAGTCGAAGGGAAAGCATCGTGTATATGATGCTAACAACTACATGAAAGATAATGCTAATAATGATAATGAGCATTCGAGCTACTTGGATTCAACGTCTAAATTTAACCGGGAAAAGGTATACAATTATTTTTTCATGTAAACGTAAATATATGCATAGAATCTTTAAAACAAGTGTCCCTCGGGAACTTATAGACTTCTAGACATATGATCTGTATAGGTATAGAAATATATATGTTAATTTTTGAAATATTTTAACTCCAGTTAGTGAATGGAAAAGTGGGCTACATGAAGAATCTCTTTGATGTGAAAGTAGAGGAACCGTGTCCTGAACAATCGAGGGATGATCCAATGACATCTGAGCAACCCTCGAACCACCGGGAAAATGCAGCTGTCGCCTCCTCAGCTTCTACTACTTACGTACCAAACATAGCTACGATAGGTCAATATCTTTACTTTCTTTCGTTACTCATCATCGTAGTTGTCTAAAATGTGCTATTTCATCATCCTTGACGGATCATCAATCGTTAATAAATTTCCGCGCACATATAATACCAAAAATATTATATATAAAAAAAAAAAAAAAATCTAATAAAAAAGATCTAGAAGCAAACTCATTAACGAAATTGTACGAGCAAATATTTTTTAACTTTTTTCACTGTTTTTTTGCTCAATTAAAAAAATTAATACATACTGCACAGTAAAAAATTTTTCGTCAAATTTAACACAAAAGTTTGATTGGTGACTTTTTTTTACACAAAATTAGTGTTAGTTTAAGGGACACACCTAGTGTGATAGCCTAAAAAAGGCGATTTTTGGGAATTAAAAAAAAACTACTCTATCAATTGTTTTAAGGTAGTACTACCGGTTTTAGATTTGACATTCAGAATTTAATGAAATTTGGCATATTGGCACTTTATAATATCATAAATAAGCAGTAAAATTTTTGGAAGCCGAGCAAGTCTTGAAAAAAAGATATTAATATCTACATATTTTTGCTTTTACCATTGATCCTTATGGAGAATCACAGACTTTAGTTTATTTCACAAAACTGGACGTTGAGATTCTTATAAAAATCAACACAACGAGAGGAAATAACATCTAGAACATATTTAGTAACAATCAGTATGGTTTCCAAGAATGTGAGAATATTTATTAATAAAAAACATTCAAAATTTATCTCTGTCTCTCTTTCTCCAACGTAATTTAGTATAGGGAACCACTTGTGGTAACGGTAGTACTACCTTAAAATTTTAAGGGAATATTTATACATATTTTAAGAATACACAGTAAAAATTTTGAAGAAAAAAATTAAATATTTTTCGAGTTACACACGATCTTCGACGGTGCTAAAAAAAGGTTCTCCACTGCTGCAGTGATTCCGGCTCTCTTCGTGGATGAAACTAGAAGATATTGTCCGTACAATGACCTACGGGCGAAAAAAAATATCAAAAATTGACAAAATGGCGGCGTTTAAAAAAAAAAGTTGAATTTTACCCAAAATTTTGGTCATTTTTGGCCTACCAAAATTCGATTTTTAATCAGATAAAAAAACTGGTAGGTCATTGTGTGGAGAACTATATACAGAACATGCAGAAAATAAAATGATCCTATTTTAACTGCCGAGCGGCTACTCTTTAAATGACTGCAATTCAAAAACTATTTGAGTTATCAATTAAAAATTTTAGTATGTCATTTTTGAAGGTACAACCTATCAAAATATGAAAGAAAAAAAATTAAATTTTTTTAAATTTCACGTTAGGTGTGCCCCTTAACACAATTCGTGTGTAATGATAAAGTTATACAGCTCTGGATTAAAGTACAATTTATTAAGGAGGTCCTTTCGCCGCCAATGTAAAATAAAAAATATTAGATTATGAGTAAATTCAATTTTTTTCTAATAGTTAAGGTCCTTATTTATCTAATAGTGAGGTTTAAATTATACTTTACCGGACAAATTTTGGAAAAAATAAAATTTTTAAATGTTAGTATTTGTTCAGAGTCTTACGAGAAAGTCAAACATTTGCAGTATTTCTCGAATTATACTATCAGTCATAGATTAGATGAAGTAAAAAAAAACTAAAAATTAGATTTTCAAAATATTCAGGTTTCTTTTTTTGCAATAAAATATATATCAGTTACCGAGATATTTATTGAAAAATTAATATTTAAAAATC